CCATTGTTGCACTCAGGTCAAAGTCTCACAGCCCTCTATCATAATCCAGAGTTTTGAGAAGATTGGAGAAACTTAATGTTTCGCCCGAAAAAAAAACAAAAACGAAAGGGGTACCACTGTCGTTTTTTTTTTCGGGTCGAATTTTTGAGTTTCGATATCTCAGCTCTGGAAGGGTCTAGAGCCTCCATTTTTGCACTCAGGTCTAAGTCTCATGGCCCTCTATCAGAATCCAGAGTTTTGAGAAGATTGGAGAAACGTAATTTTTCGCCTGAAAAAAAAAAAAACGAAAGGGGTACCACTGTCGTTTTTTTTTCGGATGGAATTTTTGAGTTTCAATATCTCAGCTCTGGAAGGGTTTAGAGCCTCCATTTTTGCACTCAGGTCTAAGTCTCATTGCCCTCTGTCAGAATCCAGAGTTTAGAGAAGATTGGAGAAACTTAATTTCTCGCCCGAAAAAAAAAAAAAACGAAAGGGGTACCACTGTCGTTTTTTTTCGGGTCGAAATTTTGAATTTCGATATCTCAGCTCTAGAACGGTCTAGAGCCTCCATTTTTGCACTCAGGTCTATGTCTCATGGCCCTCTATCAGAATCCAGAGTTTTGAGAAGATTGGAGAAACTTAATTTTTCGCCCGAAAAAAAAAACCGAAAGGGGTACCACTGTCGTTTTTTTTTTCGGGTCGAATTTTTGAGTTTCGATATCTCAGCTCTGGAAGGGTCTAGAGCCTCCATTTTTGCACTCAGGTCTAAGTCTCATGGCCCTCTATCAGAATCCAGAGTTTTAAGAAGATTGGAGAAACTAAATTTTTCGCCCGAAAAAAAAACCCGAAAGGGGTACCACTGTCGTTTTTTTTTTCGGGGCGAATTTTGAGTTTCGATATCTCAGCTCTGGAAGGGTCTAGAGCCTCCATTTTTGCACTCAGGTCTAAGTCTCATTGCCCTCTGTCAGAATCCAGAGTTTTGAGAAGATTGGAGAAACGTAATTTCTCACCCGAAAAAAACAAAACGAAAGGGGTACCACTGTCGTTTTTTT